GTATAATAACTCCTACATTTGAAAATACAGACACAAAAAATTTTATGAAATAACCATACCTCTGCAATGGCACTTAATTTGTTTTACTGTGGACTTATGCAACCTATTCAATTCATTTAAAGAGCCCAGGAAAACCCCTGGGATTCCCCCCAGATCAGTCCGTGAGCACATGATTACATGTGTGGCTCCTCATTTGTCCTGGCAATGAGACAAATGAGCTGGGGCTGGCACCCAAATGACAATAAGAGGAGAATGTGTTGAAGTAAGTCGTTCAAGGACTCCTGGTTATAAACTACTAATAGCAGACCTGTTGGAACTTGGGGATAATTAGGGTGTTGACTCTTGTTGAAAGAGTCTAATTATATTTTATTTCTCCCTTTCTCTTCTTTCTGTTGTGGAAACGGCCCTAAAGCAAAAATGATCCAGTTTATCTTTTGCTTTCAGGTGGGCTCTAGCTAATACTTATAAATATTTAAAAACATGCTGGAGCTAATTTGTCATGGGGAAGATTAATTCAAGCAAATTTATCACTGGTGTTCACGAGAATTTCAGTGATTTGTGGCTCAGAAACTAGTTCACGTCTTGTGCTTTCTCATTTCCTGTTATAAATTCACCCATGACAATCAGGATGGCTTATAAAGAGCTTGCATTGCTGGAAGTCAGGTGACCACATGGCCCAATCACTAGTGTCAGCTCCACCCCCATCCTAATAGGATTCAATGCTCCTATTTCTCTGCCCGCCCCCTGGCAAAGTTTTAAGAGGACCCCTTCCCGAACACGTGGTGCTGTGTGTGTGTGTGTGTGTGCTCTCCTCCTCCCTCTTTTCCTTCTTTGCCCCTTCCCTCTGGTCTGTCAGGTTTCCCCCAATAAACCCTTCCCCTTAAAATTTTTTTTAAAAAAGAGTTTGCCCCAGTTTTTCCTCTCCCCTGCTGCTGGTAAAGGCACAGCACAAGGTCCAGAAACCACATGGTGTGAGCAAAAGCTTTCAGCTCCAGTTGGGACGTCACTACATTCTCCCCTCCTGGAGCACTTCCTGTGGGTAGAAACCTCCCCAGGGCAGCGGGGAGAGGAGTGCACACAGCAGGTGCTGAGTCTTTTCAAACAGGTTCTTGTTCTCCTCCCAGGAACCTCCAACCATATTCCTGCGTGAACCTGTTTTGTAAATGGCACAACTGAGAAGTCATGAAAACAGCTGTGCCAACGGCTTTTCACTTTTCTGTGGTAATCAGATTTCACCAGGTCTCAGAGAAGATTCTTCTTGGATCAGACTCTCCGGTGGGCTGGTCTTGAGGCAAAAATTTTGTAATTTCTTTTAGCACTTTTCTTTACTATCAGTTTAATGAGAAAAACTTTAAAGAACAAAATGGAAGTATAGAAAAACTAAATTTAAGTTTGTACTGGTGATAGAAGGTACAACTTACTTGTACAAACAAGTGATTTTAAAGTGCATTATACCTGGCTGCAAGAAAGCCAGTTGCAGAGAAGTAAGTAAGAGAAGGATAGCTAACAGCACCCCAAACCAAATGTATATGTGTGTTTTCCTGTATGTGTGTTCCAAGAAAAGGTGAAAGCACCAGGAGACATATCTTGGAGAATGCAATTGGATATGAAGATAAAAGCTTGAGTTTTAACACACATTTGTATATGACTTCACTATTACTTCAAGCATATATATTTTTTAAAAAAGTATTTATTTGAAAGTCTGAGTTATGTGGAGAGAGAGAGAGAGAATGAGAGAGAATATTCCATCCTCTGGTTCACTCCCCAGATGGCCGTTGCCAGCTGGGGCTGGATCAGGCTAAAGCCAAGAGCCAGGAGCTTCTTCCAGTCTCTCACATGGGTTGCAGGGGCACAAGCACTTGGGCCATCTTCTGCTGCTTTTCCCAGGCCATTAGCAGAGAGCTGGATCGGAAGTGGAGCAGCTAGGACTTGATCCAGCACCCATATTGGATATTGGTATCACAGGTGGCAGCTTAACCCATCACATCATGATGCCAGCCCCACATATTTTACTTTTAATGTTATAAAAATCAAATAAAGCCGGCGCTGCAGCTTACTAGGCTAATCCTCCGCCTTGCGGCACCGGCACATCGGGTTCTAGTCCCGGTCGGGGCTTTGGATTCTGTCCTGGTTGCCCCTCTTCCAGGCCAGCTCTCTGCTGTGACCCAGGAGTGCAGTGGAGGATGGCCCAAGTGCTTGGGCCCTGCACCCCATGGGAGACCAGGAGAAGCACCTGGCTCCTGCCATCGGATCAGCGCAGTGCACCTGCTGCAGCGCGCCGGCCGTGGCGGCCATTGGAGGGTGAATCAACGGCAAAGGAAGACCTTTCTCTCTGTCTCTCTCTCACTGTCCACTCTGCCTGTCAAAAAAATAAAAACTAAAATTAAAAAAAATCAAATAAAAATTTTACAAGGAAAGGGATAAGGAAGTGATAATTTGAGAAATAATTTTATTGTGAATATTGCAATTTTTACTTCAAGGAATTATTTTTTCATTTATATTTTTATTGACTAGAAATTTTGAATCATAGGTTTTATCATTTAACCTTGAAATCTCAGGAAACTCTACTCCCATTTACAAATTAATGGAGATTCATTAAAATTTATGTAAGATAAACTCTCTTGAAAACATGTGCAGAAATCATCTTGCTTCCAGGCGTCAAAGTGAGACATATAATCTAGTAAGTGGAAACATGGAGGTTGTATAATCAATTTCCTTTGAAATAACCAACTTCTTTGAAGGAGTTTGTTATATAAATATATAACTCAAACTTTCATTCCTACTTTCTAAATTACAAGTTTTCTTGGCTAAAATTCAGTATGTTTTGAAGCTAATTTTGACCCCTAGAGTAGACGTTTCTCTTTTCTCATGTTAGCTGATGAGGTTTGAGGTTGTATCACTTTGCTTTATTCTGTAATCTAATTCTCCGTGACATATATTTATATATGTATTGAAAGGAAGACCCCTGCTAGGATTCCATTACTTTTGCCTTATTTAGGAACGGACGCAATGAAACTACTAACACTGGTACAGATTGTTTTCAGAAAGTTCATTACTGGAGACTTGCTTGTGTCTTCTCTAAAGGAGATGAATATTTATTTATTTGAAAGGTGAAGGTGGGGGGAAAGCAAGAGAGACTGACAGATCTATCTTCCATCTGCTAGATCACTCTCCAGATATCCACAATCCCTGTGGCTCGGCCAGGCCAAAGCCAAGAGTCTGGAACTCCATGGGATGTGGGTGTCCCAAGTGGGAAGTTAACCAGTGCACCAGATGCCTGCTCCTGAGCTGCAATTTATTCCTAAACAATTTTTATGTTACTTTTATACTTATAAGTAAAAAAAATTCTTTATTTTCCTTTATGGTATGTATATGTATTCTCTATAAAACTGACATTAGTTTTTCAGTGAAGGGGAACTCCCTGAAGAATTACCAAACAAATCTCATTCACTGCTCTATTTGTTCATTACTAGGTTTTACATGAACATATAAACACAATAAATGGATAACAGGAGTAGATTGATAGACAAGCCTTCATAGCTTTTTTTTTTTTTAAATCTTCATTGTTCTTTTCACCATTATTCCCAAGATACTTCCCACTGGAATTTACCTTAATAAGCACATTCAAATATATACTATTTGCTGAGGTGAAGATTACTGTAGCAGTGATGCCAGGGAAGTGATAAAGTCTAAAGGAATCCTGTTAACCTAGATTAAAAAAGGCCACACCTGTGTGTGCACGGGTGGGCGATTTCCATTTAGAATTCATAGTATCAAAATGATGCCCAACAAAAATATTTTAAGGGTTGTGAGAATAAAAACTAAATATACCAATCTTCAATAATTCTAATTTGAATTTCAGAAACATCAGAACAATCAAATTATTTGCAATTTTAAAGACTATTTAGTGAAGAAAGAAAGGCATAATGATGAGCTTCCTTGAACCCATAAGCTTTTAAAGAAACTGTTTGTGAAGGAGTTGCATTTGAGTACACAAATTTTCAAAATTAAGATTGAGAAAAAACACAGTAGGTGTGCACTGAAGAAGCACTGCTCCTCACACAGGGCTTTTAAACACACATAGTCAGATGCTAGGTTTTTATCCCCTTTTGTAGCACCTCCCATGAACTTGGCAGGAAATTCAACCAAGTATACCATCACTTGTACACTTCTCCTAAACAAACACATGTACAGACGCTCTCACACCCACATGCAAACACATACTACCAGAAAAATCCTGACAGGTTTACTGCTGATAAATAAATCTAACCTCCCTTTGAGTTAAAAGCTCCCCAATTATGAAGTTTCTGAAAACCATCCCTACCGGTATTGTGTGTTTTGTTATGAAAATCCCTAAATAAAAAAAAAATAATGGAATTCTGGTGGGGATCTGAATTTTTTCTTCTTCCTCTCTGCCTCCCTCCCTTCCTTCCCCTATCCTTCTCTTCCCTTCTCATCCCTTTCCTTCTTTCTCTCCTTCTTAGGCCATCAGATGAAATTATGAACTGATTCCACGTATAAGAACTTCAGGGATCATCCTATTGAAATCAGAAATAAATAGGCTTATATTTATATTAATGAATAACTTAAATATGTTCTGTTGGTTGTCTGAAAGAACTTAATTCTGTTTACTATTGAAAACATGCTAGCTTTAGGGTTTGAAACAAATGATGACTAACGATGTAATACTGCACTCTGAAAAAAGGCAAGTCAATTTTGGAAAATGAAAAAGGAGAGTGTGAAAACCAGGTCTCTACCTTGTAAAGTCATGAAGGTGATAAATGTTGTAAAAAAAAAAAAAGAGTATGATCTTACACAGTAATATAAAAATAATAAAATTTAATTTTGTTTTGGTTTTGGCTACACATTTTAGTTTCTTATCAAAACTACCCACATTTCTGTAATCTCATTTTTGCTTGACATTCATCATTTCATCATATCGCAACTCTGCTAAAATAGATTCACAGCTTTTCTTTATCAACGTTTTATCTCATTTCCAGATGTGGGCAAGGATGGAAAGGAAGTCGATGCCACATCAAGTTCACCCCTCCTGCTGCAGATCTTGTGTACATGCAGAATAGTAGGTGACATTGTGACTCAAAGAACTCTTTGTTTTGGAGCCTTTAATGTTTTTCACTGCATATTTGTCTCTTTCATTGGTTTGAAATTCCAGATTTATGGGCTCTTCTGGGTATTGGATTTGCTTTCCTGATGACTCATATTACTGTCGCCGTCTTGTGTTTTCTTGGGAAAAGAAAAGTGTCAGTAAGGTAAGTCAGCCCTTTAATTGCTGAATGAAATATACAGCAGAACAGTTTTCTGAAACATTTCATCTGCTGTATTTTCCTTTCACCCTGTATGAACTGCATGTAATTTTAAGGTTACTGTACACTACGAGTTTGTTTTCCTGGGCAGAAGCAGGAGCTGCCTAACAATGACCCGTCTCCTGTTTTTAGTAAGAAGTCCTTAAATTTGCTTTTAGGATTATGTTAAGAGCCAGCTTAAGGCCACTAAAAAAGAGCATGATGTTCTCCACAGAACCAAAAGACGATTCGGCTGGATGTACCACCTGGGTGTGTTGTCTGAGATTCTTGAATGAGTGGCCCTGGCCCCCAAATAAAATATTCATTCCTGTAATATCATATTCTCTCTACCAAACCCATTCCCACTGCAAACATTTTGGGTGGTAATATGGATCTTTGAAGGCAGAAAGTCAGCTGCTAGTCAAGTTCAAGATCCCTGGACAAGCCCAACCTGGGCCCAGCAATAAGAATACTTATTCTTAGCAAAAATCCAAAACCTTGCATACTCTATGCTTCAGCGGATTTAGCAGCTAGAATGTCAACAGAGAGCTGCCCTGGAGCCAGAAATGAACACAGCCTTAGCCACTAGAACTCCACTAGCACAGTGGCCAAGGTTATCTGTTACTGCTTGCAAAGCCTTTGCTGTGTCCACAAGCCCATGTGTGCATTTGTACACAAGAAGTGCAGGTGGTCCCACAGTCTGAGAATCACCAAACTGATTCCCAAGTCCCAGTTCCCTGTACATCTATTGGCCAGACTCTTCAAAACTCAGCTAAAATTCACATTGGGAAAGAAAAAGGAAATTGAGAAACGAGTTGTAAAATCTTACCTTAAAAACAAGGTTGGGCAACAAATGTTGATTGTTCTCTTCCTATTTTAAAGAGAAGTTTAAGCAGCCAGCTCCCTGATAACCTTCCCTTAATCCTCATTTGTGATCTCTTGTTCCACAAAGACCCTCAAGGGAGGCATCAAAAGAAAGCAACATTTTTCCCATGCTGGTCACATTTTTATTCCTCTCAAAATACACCACTCCATATCATTGCCCAGGGAGTGGGTGAAATCAGAGCTCCCTGCTCAGAGTGCTGTGAGAGGTATGCAGGGGAGCAACCTGGAGGTGATACATCCCTGGAGCCAGCAGCTAAGATGCATGCTATAAGGGGGGATAGAGTTTGCACTGAAATCTGAAGGAAGAAAAAATATGAGGGAAAGAAATGGGCTATCAAGAAAAGAAAAATTTTAAAATGTGTGCTTTCAGAATGGTGCACATAGCTGTAGAGTATCAGAAGGGAAGTATGTTGTAGAGATATTGTTAAGGGCTTTGGAAGCCCAAGAAAGAGATTTCAATTTATTCTAAAATAAAGAAGAAAAGGACAAGTGGTATCTTCTGTTTGTCCTCTCAGATCTGCCTTCCACTCTTCTCTGCCAAACAGGATGGAGAAGGGTAGCAAATGGGTCTAGATGCTGTCCTTTATGAACTGCATTAACAGACTCCCTCATCATCTGACTTGATGTTTGGCTGAGGTGGAGCATACATGAGGGCAGAGAAGGTGAACTAGGTATTTATACCGTGGCTTCTTCCTTGTGCTGGCTGTCTGAAATGTGGGTTCATCAGTAGACCCTACACACACTCAGCTGCCATCTCCTAGTCTCAGGAACCCTTTCTTTTTCTTTCTCCCAGGCTTATGGTGGCAACAGGCCTGGTGTTGATATCCCAGTGTCCTGCACCATTGCCTATGGTCTTCCTTATCATCAGGGCATTCCTCTGTAATTTGTCACTTTGTCAAACACTTCTCAAATTTTCCAATTTGAGAATGTCAGTTATTTCATGCCAGAGCTTTAACTGATAACAAGTCAGGGAAATGTTTAAATACAATGAAAGGCCTTGTCTAATTGTTTTTTCAAAGAACTTTCTGAAGGTAACTTGTATTTTACAGTTCTTTCCCAGTTCCAAAATTGAATTGTTTCAATGAAATGATGAGCTTCATTTTTGGGGGCTGAAATATTTCCTGTTCTAATGTAACTGCATTAAATCTTTCAGCTACTAGGATGTTTTCACCTAGACTAAGCAGTGTTCTACATTTATCTTTCCATTGCAATTTCCTTAAACAGTTAATGGTAAAAATTTCTAAAATGTAAAATTCTAGATTAGATACTTTATAAAACCATCTGTCTTGGATTCATTTGTTATACTTCTATGGGCTGGAAAATTTCTGGAAAAAAGGGACAGCATTGAATGCTCCACCCTTACCTAACATATGAAACACATAGGGCAAATGAAAAATTAGATGGCTGGAAGCTGCATATTTGACACAGCACATCAGAGTCTTGGAATTTGGGTTTTATGGACTGAATATATCCAAGATACAGAATGAGTGATGCCAACTGCCATCTACCAGAGTAATATTGGACAAGGACTTATTAGTCAAAGGGGAATAGAATGACTTTCCAGAGATTTGGAGTTTATTTTTCCTTTGGCCAGGAGAGTAAAACATCAGAAAGGAACATGTTCACAAAGGCTAAGTTCACAAGTGATACCCTCTTCAATTCTATCCAAGCCTTGGTCAGAAGTAACCTCCTCAACCCTGAACTTGGAAACTGCTTTGTTCTTGAGCTTGTTTTCACTCGGCACATTGACTTTTACTATCATGTCTCCCATAAAAGATGTGAGCAGATTCTGAGGGCAGAATCCTTGTCCTATTCATGGTCACAACTCTAAGTTCAACAACTGGCACATAGAAATTCATTGTCATAAATATTATTGAAGTCTGATTTCTCAGCCTGTCTAGATGAGGATGTTGGAATCCAAAGTAACATTTTATATCCCAAGTATAATACTTTACTTGGTCTTCATGCTACAGAATTATCTGCAAAAGAATCCTGGCAGATGACATGTGGGATATCATTGTTAGTTATTCATCATTGTTAGTTATCCTAACATCATTGTTAGTTACATGTTAGTTACCCTAACATCATTGTTAGTTATTGACCATTCTTCATTCCAGTCTAAGGAAGCTGAAAGCAAAGCTTAAAAATTGTAACTGATACCTACCTGTGTGGCCCTTGGCAGAGCCATTATTGGAGTTAAGCATGGCCTATCACGTCAGTACATGATCGAATGTAACTCCTAGAATATGAATGGTAGACAAGAGGGAATACTAGAAACTAACGCATACAAGCATTCATAACTATGGAATGAACTGAGCATCAGAAAACCTGGACATTTTAGGAGGACAGGAAATGGTATTTTATTAAATCAGTGGCTGCATGTAGTCTGCCCACTACTGTTCTCATGCCAGGCTCTAATTTAGATAACCATATGTGTAAGATTTTGCCCTGGGGCTTTGGAAGAGGAGTGTATCGCATCTGACCACCTACTTATCAAATTTACTTATAATGATATTATTATTCTATTTTTCTTAGAAAGGTCAATTTTAAGTGAGTATTATAAATACTTTACCAGAAAGTAATATCCATATTTATCAAAAGAATAAAATTAGAAATTTCACCTGGATTTCTGATTTCCTATTTTAACTAAATAACTGATAATCTTTTAACCAATTCCTTGTTATTTCACTACACAAAATTGGCTCACATGGGTGTGTCAGGAATACACATCTGGCATGCCGCAGAGTTTATTGGTATTGTACCCGTATTTATTGTTTGGTAAATGTCCTAAGTTCTAAATCTATTGTCATCGCACACAAACTCCAGAGTGTAAGGAATAATATCTGAGCAAAATAGGAAAGATCACTTTACTGTACAAGAACTCATGTTCAAATTATTTATCCTGTAGATAGCCATTTCACCATTAGCATTTCCCCAGCATAACAGGTATCTCTATTTGGCAGACAAAGTCCCCAGAACCATGCTCTTGGCATTTTTCAGCACCTTTCCTCTGTTCACTGTTAAACTTCCATAGCAGGAAGACAGGGTTCCAGTCCTTGACATTTCTAGGTTGCATCTGTTTTCTTCTTAAGCAAGCAGAGTAGATTAATGTTTTGTATGAAAATAAGACACTCCTTGAAAGAGGTAAGCTGTTTAAATGAACCGGACAGGAAGGCTGTCACGATAAGTGAGGTGTGTATAACTAGCAAATCACACAGCTTTACTGTGGCATGTAGCAAATACATTCAGCTCCTTTTGCGGGAGACTAAACATTCTAAGTGTTATACTTTATTAATGTTGCAGAGCATAAGGAAGTGGATCAGCTTAATTTTTCTTTAGTAATTGCTGTTATTCTCCTGATAGACTCTCTCCTGCTTCCAAGTCTTTGGCCACATCATCTCTCTGTAAAAGTATCCTGGGAGATACGTCTACAACTTCACCAGTATGTTTACTGGGTTGGAATTTTAAGCTCACTAATAAATTAAAGGACAGAACGAAAGCTTATTTTCACCTTAGAAAAATAAACACAGCTGGCGCCGCGGCTCACTAGGCTAATCCTCCACCTTGCGGCGCCGGCACACCAGGTTCTAGTCCCGGTCGGGGCACCAGATTCTGTCCCGGTTGCCCCTCTTCCAGGCCAGCTCTCTGCTGTGGCCAGGGAGTGCAGTGGAGGATGGCCCAAGTGCTTGGGCCCTGCACCCCACGGGAGACCAGGATAAGTACCTGGCTCCTGCCATCGGATCAGCGCGGCAGCACGCCAGCCGCGGCGGCCATTGGAGGGTGAACCAATGGCAAAAGGAAGACCTTTCTCTCTGTCTCTCTCTCTCTCACTGTCCACTCTGCCTGTCAAAAAATAAAAAAAATAAAAAAAAAAAAACACAGAAATCAGAAACTCTGTGCAACCATGCATTTGAGGCAAACATTTATTAAGGATCTGTTGTGTGCTAGTCACTGTGTGGGGGCTGGAAATATAAAAATAATAATTTATATTCTAGTGTAGAAAACATATAAAAGCAAACAATCTTAGTATAGCAACAAGCCGATATCTAATGCATGCAGCCACTTCACAGAGTGCTGGAGAAGCACAGGTAGAGGACAGCCATGCTATTTTTGGTGTGAAGATAATGCAGTAGAGATTGAGAAAGGACTTAGTGAGGAGATGCTGTTTTGCCCAACTCTAGAGTCTTGGGCTGAAATCCAGCAGGTGGCAAAGAATCTCAAGAAAACACAACAGGTGCAATGGCACAGACTGACAGAGGCATGGCTAGTGTGAACAAATATATCAGGCACCAAGGCTAGTGTGCTGCAGCGAGTTAAGCCATTGTCTACAATGCTGGCTTCCAACATCAGAACCCATTTGAGTCCTGGCTGCTCTTTTTCCAATCCAGTTTCCTGCTAATGTGCCTAGGAAAGCAGCAGAAGATAGCCCATATACTTGGGCTCCTGCCCCCAAAATGGGAGTCCCAGATGGAATTCTAGGCTGTTGGCTTTACCTGGACCAGCCGCAGCTAGCACTTCTACAGCCTAAGGAACTTCAAGATGGCCTTTTCTTATTATTAGTTCAGCTTCATATTACATTATTTTTAGCACTGTACTTTTTTCATTAATATTTTGAAAAATTAATATTGGGCCAGTGCCGAGGCTCACTTGGCTAATCCTCTGCCTAGGGTGCCGGCACCCTGGGTTCTAGTCCCAGCTGGGGCGCCAGATACTAGTCCCGGTTGCTCCTCTTCCAGGGCAGCTCTCTGCTGTGGCCCAGGAGGGCAGTGGAGGATGGCCCAAGTGGTTGGGTCCCTGTACCCGCACGTGAGACCGGGAGGAATCACTTCACTCCTGGTTTCGGATCGGCGCAGCGCCGGCCACAGCAGCCATTAGGGGAGTGAACCAACGGAAGGAAGACCTTTCTCTCTGTCTCTTTCTCTCACTAACTCTGCCTGTCAAAAAAAAAAAAAGAAAGAAAAAGAAAAATTAACATTGAGATCACCTAATACCTCTATTATTTACCTGGGTTTATTTAGATCTAAATACAAAATATGTTTGCTTTCTAGAATGCGCTTACTTTTGTGTCCTTTTTAAAAAAAATCTTAAGGTAATACATTCATGAAGATAAGTATACTGGCTAAATATTTTGTCTCTCAAGCGTTTATACCAGATAATAATCTGAAAATGAATATGGTATATTTCAGTGTAATATTTCTTTCTTTTGTTTTTGGTTGTCCTGTGTGCCTTAAGGAAAACTGAGAGAACTGGTAACTGTGCCTTTGTTAATCCAATCTATGGCAATTGGAGCAACCCAGAGAAAACAGAGGTAAGTAACAATGGTCAATGGTGAGTGGTATTGTTTCAGAAGCGGACCACACACACACACACACACACACACAAAACAGGTGTTTGGTATAGGGTATAGCAGTTTAGCCACCAGTTGGGATGCCCTCATCCCATGCTGGTGTGTTTGGATTTACTTTTTTTTTTTTTTTTTTGGCAGGCAGAGTTAGAGAGAGAGAGAGAGAGAGAGAGAAAGGTCTTCCTTCCGTTGGTTCACCCCCCAAATGGTGCAGTGCCGATCCGAAGCCAGGAGCCAGGTGCTTCTCCTGGTCTCCCATGCGGGTGCAGGGCCCAAGGACCTGGGCCATCCTCCACTGCCTTCCCGGGCCACAGCAGAGAGCTAGCCTGGAAGAGGGGCAACCGGGACAGAATCCAGCACCCCAGCTGGGACTAGAACCCAGGGTGCTGGCGCCGCAGGCAGAGGATTAGCCAAGTGAGCCGCGGCGCCAGTGTGTTTTAGTTTAAATCTTGGCTCCACTCCTGATTCCATCTTCCTGCCAATGAACATCTTGGGAGTCAGCAGATAATAGTTGAAGTAGTTGGGTTCATGTCACCCACATGGGAATCTGGATTGAGTTACCTGCTCCTGGATTCAGCCTGGCACAGCTCAGCTCATTGTAGATACTGGGAAGTCAAACAGTGAATGGTGTATTTCTCTCTCTGCTTCTCAAATATATATTTTTAAAATAACCCAAATATGACATTTTTTACAAAGGGGGAAGGCGTAATATTAATCTATTTGACTAAAGAAAATGTTATCATTTTTTAATAATTAAATACAAATGGTGTAAGAATTAAAGTGAGATAGTTTAGAAGTTATTTTTGTAGTATTATCTCAGAAACTTATACTGTCTACGATGTTACACACTCTACTGAAGAGATGGGTTTTTCTGGCATTCAGATCTGTGCTTGTCATCATGCACGGACACAGGTTTAAATCCGAGACCCAGTTTCCCACCTGCCTCTGAGGGGTCTTACAGTGTGTATGCATGTGACAGTAACTGATGATCTGAACCTTGGAAGTGCTTTCTTTTATTTTCTATAAAGGAATACAGAAAAATTATTCCTTTTTCACAGTCCCTTTTCCTTCCATAAAGAATGCCAAGAGAAGAAATTCTACAACATCTCTTGACCTTTGTTGCTGTTTTGATTCTGTTTCAGAAACAAGTGACTTAACATTCATTAAGCCATATTCACTGTGCCTAACATTTTGACTGGAAAATATACTTCTCCAAAATGTTGTTCTAAAATCTCTTAAACAGAACTCTCATAAGGTGATAAGGAAATTGAAAGAATAGTGTAATAAACTGGCAGGGAGCCATCAACCAACATTTTAAGACCATCTTGGTTCACTTCCCAGCCATTCAATCCCTTGACTCACCAGAAGGTTTTTAAATAAAGCCCTGATATCATTAAATTCAACTGTAAAGCCTTCACTTGTAACTCTAGCAGATAAGGGTTTTTTCATATTACAGCAAAAGTACCACATATAAATATTTAAAAATTTCTGGATACCTTCAGATATTCAGTGTTCCAGCTGCTCCAGGTATCCTATAGATAAGTAGGAGATTTTAAATTTTTGAATTCTATTTATTCATTTGAGAGACAGAGAGAGACAAAAAAAAAGAGGTTCTCTTCTGCTGGTTCACTCCCAATATGCCTGCAGTGGCCAGCACTGGCTGGGCCAAAGCCAGAAGCCAGAAACTCAAGCGAGGTATTAGTCCACATGGGTGACAGAGACCCAACAACTTGAGCCATTTTCTGCTGCCTCTAGTTAAGAGTTTTACATGTCAATTTGTATTGCTATTGTTATCATATTTTTTTTATCTGACAGGTAGAGTTATAGACAGTGAGAAAGAGAGATGGAGAGAAAGGTTTTCCTTCCATTGATTCACTCCCCAAATGGCAGCAACAGCCAGTGCTGAGCCAATCCGTAGCCAGGAGCCAGGTGCTTCTCCTGGTCTCCCATGGGGTGCAGGGCCCAAGCACTTGGGCCATCCTCCACTGCCCTCCCAGGCCACAGCAGAGAGCTGGACTGGAAGAGGAGCAACCAGGACTAGAACTGGCGCCACAGGCAGAGGATTAACCAAGTGAGCCATGGCAGTGGCCCCTGTTACCAGATTTTTTAAATCAGGACCCATGTAAGATATAGGCATCCCAATTGATAGATGTCTTTTTTTTTATTTTTTTTTATTTTTTTTATTTTTGACAGGCAGAGTGGACAGTGAGAGAGAGAGACAGAGAGAGAAAGGTCTTCCTTTGCCGTTGGTTCACCCTCCAATGGCCGCCGCTGCAGCCGGCGCACCGCGCTGATCCGATGGCAGGAGCCAGGAGCCAGGTGCTTCTCCTGGTCTCCCATGGGGTGCAGGGCCCAAGCACTTGGGCCATCCTCCACTGCACTCCCTGGCCACAGCAGAGAGCTGGCCTGGAAGAGGGGCAACCGGGACAGAATCCAGCGCCCCGACCGGGACTAGAACCCGGTGTTCCAGCACCGCAAGGTGGAGGATTAGCCTATTAAGCCACGGCGCCGGCTAGATGTCTTTTACAACTCTTTTAATCTCCAGATTTTATTTTTCTCTCCTTTTTCTCTAGCAAATTAGTTGAAGAAATCACATGGGTCATTTTATGGAACTTCCCCCTTTTTCAATTTCTGTTATGATAGTTATTTCATGGGAAGTAGAATTAAAAGATAATTATTTTGGCATAAACAAATTTTGGTATCAAAAAGTTTATAAACAATGCCTATTATGAAAAAACTTCCCAGGATTTCAAAGTTTCTGTGTACAAGAATAAACTTCTCTTTTCATTCCCTTTTTCCACAGAACTTTTTAAGTTTCCTCATATACCCTGTAAACTATGTTTCTATCAACTTAAAACTCTTGAATTTATATTTTATTTCATTTAACCTAAGTGTACTCAATACAGCAGACTTGTTACCAGAGAAAGAGGTAGTCAAAATGCAGGCTACTGCATTCCTCTGTCTATCAGGGTGAGGTTGAGGCAGTGGTGCCAGTGTGCAGAGGGCCCCAGAAACACATCAGAGCTACACCTGTACCAGGGGTTCAGGCAGCCTGGGCTGGAGGGGCTACAGGGATAGACAGCCAAGCTCCAGCTACTGCTCCAGTGAAATCCATCTGAAGCCTGCTGTATTCTGGGCAGGTTTGTTTTTTAAACATTGCCTAAAATCTTACTTTCCAATGTGTTTCTCCTCTTAGAGTTCTGTCTACTCGTTCTCCAACCCAGTATATGGCACAGCACCAAGAAGCTTGGAAACCATGTCTCATCATCTCAAATAGCAGAATCAAGATCAAGTATGATCCACTATGTGTACTTCATACAAAATTCTGTACTCTAAATTCCTACAAAAATGTATCTTCCATGATAGTAGAGATTCAAAATTCTAATGTGATTATAGTTTTTATAAAAGATCTTAATACACTGCCTTCATGGAACCCAAATCTGTACCTTATCTTCATTGTATATTTGCATAATTTAATACAGTGTTCTAATTAAGCATATTTTTTGATTTTTATATTGGTAATATTTTAAGGTAATGAATCAAGTTGTTTCAAATATTGAATATAAAAAAAGATTTAAAAGGCATATTTCTTTTTCAAAAGACATAAACAAAGGCAAACTGACTTGGTAAACTAGCAGAAAGGACAAATCATTGTAATTCTAACCACCATAATCGTAAGTTATTGTTACATTTTTTTAAGTGTGTGATAAATTATCACCCTGTATCTCCCTTTTTCAAATAATCATTTAAAACTTTTATGTAAATATGAAGCTACTTCAAACATTTGTGGAAAATAAGGTAAGTTTGTTTCGATGCAAAAAGTATTCAAATCCATGCATATGTATATGTACTGATCAAATTACAATCAGCATTTCCACCTCCTTATTGTTTGTTTGGGGCCTTCAAGCTCCACTATTTCAGTTCTTCATAAATCATGTAAGGTAACCACGAGCTATGGTCATCCTACTGTGCTGTGGAATTCTAAGAGTTATTCTGTGTTTTGGTACACATTCATTTTCCAACGATCTCTATTCTGTCCCCATACTTCTCAGCCTCTAGTAATCACTGCCCTATATTCAGGTCAACTTTTTCTTGGGCTTCCATATATGAGAGAACATGCAGTATTTATCTTTCCATCCCTGGTTTTTTTCCCTTAATGTTCTCCAGTTTTGTATATTTTACTGCAAATACCAGGGCTTCATTATTTTTTGAGCTAAATAATATTTATATTTATCCATTTTATCTTTGTTATTGTAAATATTAGCACAATAAACAAAGGAGTACAGGTATCTCTGATATGACTCTACTTCCTTTGGATATATAACTAGAAATAGGAAGTTAGATTGTGGGGAGCAACTCGGACTAGACTAAGTTACTGGAATTAAGACTTATTCTATGCATCTGCTCTCCCACAATATGGCGCTGGGAGAGGAGTAAACAGCTTCTACACAGCTGCCTCTCACCAACTTGACAAGCTGCAGGAGCTGCTCCTGATTGGAGGAGAGCAGCGTGCTCGGCGTGTGGGTAGCAGAGTTGGGATTGTTGGAAGAGGACTATAAAGGAGGAGAGAGACAACATGCACCAGGAACACCTGAGGAACATCTGAGCAGCCCCGGAGAGCTGGCTGGTGGTGTGCCACTCCTCCGCAGAAGTGGGGAAAGTGGCAGGGGGGCCCACCCCTCCACGGAGGTGGAGGGACGGCAGCCAACCCGGGAAGAACCAGCAGCAAGCCCGGGAAGGGCCGAGGAGACAGAAGAACAGCGCAGGGTCCTGTGTCGTTCCTCCGTGGAGAGGGGGAGCGACATTAGATCATACAGTAGATGTATTTTTTTAAGAAACTTCCATACTATTCTCCAAAATAACCATATAAATTTACATTCTCACCAACAAGTATATAAGGAATTCCTTTTCTCCATATCATCACCAGCATTTGTTATTTTTGTCTTTTTAACAGTAGTCATTCTATTTTGGGTGAGATGTACTCTTGATTTGCATCTTCCTGATGACCACTGACACTGAGCATTTTTTCATACAGGTATTGGCCATCTGTATTTCTTCTTCTGAGGAATGTGTATGGAAATCATTTGTCTATTTGAAACTGGGTTGCTTTTTGTTATTTATGAGTTCCTTTGATTTTCTGAATACCAACTCTGTCAGATAATATCAAATATTTTCTTCAAAATATTGCTTCTGTTGATGATTTTGCAAGTAGTCTTGTGTTTAGTGGTTGATGTATATGAAATGATTATTATATTCATGGGATAAATCCCATGTGATAATGGTGAATCTTTTTGATGTGCAGTTCACTTTGATTTGCTAGTATTTTGTTGAAAATGTTTCCATCTATTTTCGTTAAGGAGATAATTTTTTTTTTTTTTGTCTTGTCCTTGTCTGGTTTCTGTATCAGGGTAATCATGGCTTCATAGAATGAGATTGGAAGGAGTCTCTCTATTTGAATTTTTTGCAATAGCTGAAAAAATGGCATTAGTTTTTCCTTACAGGTTTGATACAACTCAGCAGTAAAGGTATCTGGTCCTGGATTGCATTTGTTGTGAAATGTTTTAAATTACATAGTCGATCTTGTTACTGGGCTCCAAGTTTTCTATGTCATTGTGGTTAAATTTTGGTAGACTATATGTGAAGATTTCTTCAGATATGATGAGTTGTTGGTTTTATAGTGTTCATTATAGTCCACAGTAATCTTTTTTATTTCTGTGGTAGCAGTTACCGTGTTGCCTTTTTCATCTGATTATACTGAGTCTTTTTTCAAGGTTACTCTAGCTAGAGTTATAAACTTTATCTTTTTAAAGAATCAAGTCTTCATTGATACTTTGGTGTGATTTTTTGTTTGTGTTTTACTTTAAGGATTCCTTTGAGAAGCAGAGTTACACAGAGCGGGGAGACAGAGAGGTCTTCATCCACTGATTCACTTCCCAAATGGCTGTAATGGCCCAAAGAGTTGGGCCATTTTCCACTGCTTTCCCAGGCCATTTGCAGGGAGATGGATTGGAATTGGAGCAGCTGGGACTCAAACTAGTGCCTATATGGGATGCCCATGCCTTATTCAGAGGCTTAACCTTCTACACCACAGTGCTGGCCCCTTTTTTAACTTATTTAGGACTTGGCTGATTCTTATTTTCCAGACCCTTGAGGTGTATCAGTAGAGTATTTGAGATTTATGTTTTAATGTAACTGCTCATTGCTATAAGTGCTCTTATTAATACATTTTCTATGTCAATTTTTGGTAGTTGAATTTTCATATTGTTTCAAGAATTTTAAAATTTCTCTTTTCATTTCTTCACTGTCCCATTATTCAATAACATGTTGCCATGATCAGTGAATTTGTATAATTTCTCAATGTTTGATTTCTAGTTTTATTGCATTGTACTTGATAAGACTTGTTTTATGGCCTAATATTTGGTCAATGCTAGCAAATGCTCCGGGTGCTCATGAAAGGACTTTAACTCTGACACTATTGGAGGAAATGTTCTGTAAGTGTCTGTGAGGCCCATGTGGACTATACAGTGGAGTGGGAAATGTCCAGCCCACATGCTGTGTAAGGTCAAGAAATATTTGGTCTGGCCCTACCAAGGCAACCGGAGGCAGGATTTGAAATTCAATAACAATTAGTCTGCTACAGATTTAAGTTGGTAATTTTGTATGTCCTGTAAATAACATTATAAATATCCAAATGGTCTTTGGCAAAAAAAAAAAAAAAAAAAAAGATTCCACATCTGTTACTTTATCTCTGATGTTCCCTTAAAAATATCTTTAAAATTATTTATTTGAAAGGTAGAGTTACAGAGAAGCAGAGAGAGAGACAGAGAGAGAGAGAGAGAGAGAGAATCTTCCATCCGCTGGTTCACTTCTCAGATGGCCACAATGGCTGGAGCTGAGCCATCCGAAGCCAGGTGCCTAGAGCTTCTTCTGACTCTCCCAAGTGGGTGGGTACAGGGGTCCAAGGACTTGGGGTCATCTCCCGCTGCTTTCTCAGGCACATCAGCAGGAAGTTGGATCAGAAGTGGAGCAGTGGCTTTACCTGCTACACAACAGCACTGGCTCCTCAATTTTTAATCTAGATAATCTTCCCATTGTATAAGTGAGATATTAAAGTCATTCACCATCACTGGACTATATAGCTTGTCTCTCTTTACAATAATGGTTGTGTAAACTGGGTGCTCTTATCTCTGCATTAGGTGAAGTTATATTTATAGTCATTATGTCTTACTGAATCCCTTGATCATTATAGTTTTTTTTTTTTTGTCCCTTTTAGTTTTTCTAGGGCAAGTGTAGTTATTCCTACTCACTTTTAATTTCTGTTTGTGTGGAATATCTTTTTCTATCCTTGTACTTTCACTCTCCATGTCTTTACTGGCAAAGGGAGTTTCTTGTAGGGAGCATATCATTGGGTCTTTTTTTATACATCCAGCTGGTCTGTATCTTTTAATTTGATTTAGGCCATTTATATTAAAGGTTGTTGTTCATCAGATTTTCCTCCCTAAGTACTACTTTTTAATATCCTTTGTTCCTTGCTTCCTCTTTTGTTGTTCTTCATGGCTTGGTGGTCACTGCATTGGGAATGTTTGAGTATATTCTATTTTATATTTGTCTGCTCTTCTGGTAGACTTCATACTTCAATGAGTTTCCAAGAAAGCAGTTATCTGCCCTTTGCTTCTGGAATGCAGGGCTCCCTGAAGCAGCTTTGGTAAGGCTGGTTGGCTTTTGCTTGTTGTGGATACACTTTATTTCTCCTTCATGAAGGAAAAGTGTTTACTTATCCTCTAGGAAGGATATCTTTGCTGGGTAGAGTTTTCTTGGTGGGCAAGGGTTTTTTTTTTTTTGGTTTGTTTCAGTAAGTGAAATGCATCATTCCATTCCCTCCTGGCCTGTGGGGTTCCAACAGAGAAGTCTGCTGTTAGTGTTACAGAGGTCTCCTTAAATGTGGCTTGATGATTTTCTTATGCAGTTTTAGAGTTCTCTCTTCATGTTGTACTTTTGATTTTTTATTATGACATGCTTCATTGAGTATTGTTTTCTACTCTTATCTACTTGGGGTGCTATGTCCCTTCAGTAGCATATCTTTACAACAGCTAGGAAAGTTTTCAGCTATTATAATGGTTTTCGATGCCTTTTCCCTTCTGTTTGCCTTTAAGGGACCACCAGAATTCAAATATATGCTAATTTAGTGGTTTCTCAAAGATTGTGAAAGGTTATCTCCATTCTTTTTTGTTGTCATTTTATGGTCTGACAGGGATACTTCATAAGACATATCTTCAAATTTAGAAGAAACTTCTCCAGAGCAAAGCTGGGATATAGACTCTTCACGGTTCCCCTCACTGGGCTCCAAGCCTATGTTTTATTATAACATTATTAACCATGCATAGGCCTAAGAAAGCACACAAGCTGTATTTGAAAACTGATGGGTAAATTAAATGGATATTTTGTACAATTCATTTAAAGAAGATATTCTTATGAATATGACTGTGTATATACAAAACCTTACCAAATATGAAAAACATCAGAAGCTACCCCACATTGACTTTTCTACTGTAGGCTGCTTGCTTTGGAAATAATTCCTGTATCCTTGCTTTGCAAGCTGATAATAGCTCTATGCATTTGTACACAAATTTTATATATTTTATTTATACATATAAATATATATATGCTGTATATTTCTGCAGAAATTGTATATTCTAAATTTTATTAGGATGAGTATGAGAAGTTTATATATATCTTAATTCTAGGTTGCTTGGTTTTTTAGCTGCCCAAAATATTGTATTTTAATAAAAACTTGTAAAATTTATATAAAGTTGTATTAACAGTAACATATCCATGATGTAACAAAAACTAATAGAACTCCAGTAAAAATTGTAAAAAAAATGCTAACACCTAAGGGGAAAAAATCAAATAACAGAGATAATGCACAAACAGTCAATGTCAGAGATAGAAATGATATAATCACCACATGTCTTATAAAACAGAAGGAAAATGAAGATCTTATTTTACAAAAAAAAGATAATATCAAAATCTGGAGGAAATAAATTCCTAGAAAGTGCTACTTTCTAAGAATAGCATAAGAAATAGATGAGTTCAGTAGACTTATAACCAACTGACCCATACTTAGCTATATCCTTTCAAACAAGGCTGTTATTTATTATAAAATTTGTTGGTGAGTTTTATGAACTAATATCAAGTTTAATAAGGACACCATAATTATGATACAAACTGTAACACAGACATCGTAAGAAAGGGAAATTTTGCTCCTGGTCTTGGAACTGCCTCCTCCCCATCTCACCTCGGGTCTCTTCACGGAAAAACAGGCCATTGCTAAACCCACTACCCAGGATCTGTAGGCTGCTCATCTGTACCACCACAGAGATGACAACCCAGGTGTCAACATCAAAAGGTACCAAGCTGTGGTATTCTCGTCCAGGATATGCTCCATATTTTCCAAAATTAAGGATTGACTAAAATCAATCAAATTTAAGTTTTTCAGAAAAAAAATCATTGAAGCAACAAAATATTGATTTTTCTGAAAGCGTTCTATGATATCAGAACAGACTTTAAGATACTTGTATTCTTCTTGATCTTATAAACAAAACTCATTAAAAGTTAATGAACAGGGCCAGTGCTGTAGCGTAACAGGTAAAGCTGCCACCTTCAGTGCCGGCATCCCATATGGGCGCCAGTTCAAGTCTCAGCTGCTCCACTTCCAATCCAGCTCTCTGCTATGGCCTGGGAAAGCAGTAGAAGATGGCCCAAGTCTTTGAGCCCCTGTACCCGTGTGGGAGACTCAGAAGAAGCTCCTGGCCTAGGATTGGCACAGCTCCAGCTGTTGCAGCCACCTGGGGAGTGAACCATTGGATGGAAGACCTCTCATTCTCTGCCTCTCCTCCTCTCTCTGTGTAACTATGACTTTCGAGTAAATAAATAAATCTTTAAAAAAAAAAAAAGGCAATTAACATTGAGTTAGCAAAGGAGCCATCATCATAGAACAGCAGGTTAAGTGACCACTTGCATTGCCAGCATCCTATACCTGAGCACTGATTCAAGTTCCAACAACCCTTCTTCTGTTCCAGGTTCTTGCTAATGCACCT